AAATCATTCACTCTGGAATAAAAGCACGAGGCTTGGCACATGTGCAGCCCAATGGCTTATTTTCTGCTGTATTCTCACCTGGGCAAATGGAAGGCTTTCACCTTGTGAGTATGAAAAACAACCCTGACACAGATCTGGTCTGAGCAAAAGCACCCCAAGCCACACTGCGTGTGGTTAAAAATATTGTAAAATGCATAATGTGGAGGTACCTTATGCTGCACATTCAATGTTCTTTCAAATCTATTTGTATAAAACGTGAAGAATAAAATGTTCCCCCTGCCCCCTCAGAACAGACCGACTTGGTGTCCCTGTCTGACAGTGAGGTGCCCGCGGTGCAAAGCTTTCATTCATGTGCCCGGAGAGGCGCGCTTTGCTTCGGTCTTAGCTTAGACTGAGGGTCGCCTTTGAGTATCACGGATGAAGTCCAAAAATCAGGAAGCAAAATGAGGTTCCACTCGGGAGCCCTGTGAACTTGCATGTTGCTGTTGCAGCACTTTCTTGCGGCTGGGTTTCCTCTCGGCTGCAGTTGTTTGGTAAGCAGATGCCCTCTGCCTCCTTCGTGCAGGAGGCTTTCGCTCCCCCCTTCGCGCCATGGCAAAGAGCGAATGGAAAGGTACATCGTGCTGGGAGGGACGCCCAGGCTGGTCAGGCCAGTTCTGCCTCCCGGCCAGGATTTTCAAATGCAGTGCCATGAGGAGGGATTTTGGTCGCAGAGCCAAATTGTTAGAGAATTGATCGATGTATCACCATCAGGTCTTGTTAAGATCCCTTAAGTTGGGCACTGAGAACTTAATTATGTCAAAGCAGAAATGTTATTCACCCAATCCAGCACACCTGCAGCTGATCCCAGCAGTTACTTGAAATCCATGGCTTGCTTTCTCAGCCCCGTTAAGTACTTGGTGAGGCCAATAGCTTGTCCCCAATCTCTTCCCAATGGCAGTTCTTGACCTCCAGGGGCTGCATTTCTAGCTGGAATCGTTCTGTGCAGGGTATCTTTGCGAGGAAACGAGGAAATACCCCAAACAGAATGCGTCTTTTTCCTAGCGTGCTGCAATTTCAGCCACTACCAGTAGGGAGAGTTGCATGACATCTGCAGTGTGTTAGGAGCAGATTTTAAACTTTTATGTTTCATGTTCATTCACTTTGAGAGTTGACTTCATGACTTCAGGTGAAAGCTTTAATTTAAAAAACAAAATCCTGTAAGCAGCTCTAACTGGCCTAGAATATGATAGGCGTGAGCCCCAATCTTAACTGCACAGTTTGGATTTTGAAGGGCTCTTTATCAGGAAAAAACCAGTAGTGAACTTGGTCTCTTGTGCCTTAATTAGGCGATCTAGGCAGCTCATAAATAAACTTACAGAAATGCCCAGGAGTTCCTGCTTTTAAGACAGTGAATGATTCTTCCATATTCTGGGGTTTAGGTTCCGAATTATACCTCACTGGCTCCACAGCATTGTGCTTCCTATCAGCCAGTGGACTGAGATGGAAAGTAGCTTTTGTATATTTTCACCTGTAGAGCACAGACCCTGTCAGGCAGTGGGTGGTGTCTTTGCCTGACCCGAAAGATTTTTTTTTGTAAACTACGCACAAAGCTCTGGCTGCCTGGATCTAGAACTCCCTGCTCTCTCGAGTCACGTACAGGTCATGTGACATGCAAGTTTTTCCTTTTGGTCCTCCTTGCTCTATGGACTGTCTTCTGAGCCAAGTCAGGCAACAGTCGGGTGAGGCAGCCTAGCCTGGTGATGGCTGTACTGCGGTCAGATTCCCTTTCAATGTTGCTTACTTTGAAGGGTTCACGCAGTAACAGAGCTAACCCTTTCATAGGCCGTGCTACACCTTGTGCAATCTCCCAGTTGCAACTAAAATGTTTCCATTGTTTACGATGGCAGATTGAGACTTACTTTGAGCATTGGAGGTGTAGCTCATCAGTCATAGGCTGTACGTCTTGGTCCTTACCAATGGGTAAGCGCTGTATCCTGGAGAGGAATTGTTGCACGAGGTTGGAAGCAAGGCACGCTCTCTACCAAAGATGGATTTACTTAACACCCAGCTGTATCTTTGAAAAATAATTGTAGATTTGGGGCAAGATACCTGATTGGAAAGCAATGAATGCTGAACAGAAAATATATTCAGCTATCTTCTTCCCCATCTATATGCAGTATTTAAATCTGATCATATCTATATGGTATGTATAATTTGTTTAATTTTGAATGTGTGTGTGTGTGTGTGTACACACACACACATATACACACACATGAATGTGTGTATATAAATTGCATAACACAGATTTCTATATATAGATATATGTATGTTTATATACACACAGAATGGGAAATGGTATGAAACTTGGTGAATGGAGACTTGATGCACAAAGAACTTGATTTACCTATGTGTGTACAGGTACATATAAAACCCCACGACATCCACAGCCATATTTGTTGGTTAAGACAGAGGCTCATAGAGCATAGTTTGTGGTGGGAAAATCTGTCTTAAATATTCTAGTTAAATAATTTTTATCCAGCAGGGCATTGAAATAAATGGAATACAAAAGTGCATTGGCTGCAAAATGACTGATTTGTATCATTGCTCCTGTAGAAAACTTTATCTGCCAGTGCGCTTTTGTCCTGAAAGAGGCGGAGGAGTTGGTCACACACTTTATAGAGAAATGCGTGCCAATCAGCTGTCATTCAAATGTTCTTATGTTGTAATGACATCTCGCCATAAGCTGATAGGACTGTGAAATAATCCTTCATCCTTTCAGGCAACATAATACAATCTTTGGACTTTTGGTGAGTCCGGTGATGCCAGTTGATCATTATCAAGTATTCACAACCACTCTGTTGAAAACCACGGTACTGCGTTTGAAAAAAAAATTCAGGCTATCCCATGGTAAAGATGTGTCAGACGGAGCTGGTTTGGGGGGATGGTAACTGCAAACTCAGGTTGTTAGACTCTCTTATCTTGCTTTCGTTAGATCTGTGTATCTGAATTCTCTTTTGTGTTGTCCTGTTCCGGGTTTGGAGAATGGAGGGAGTGCTGCTATCAGAGACATTCTTATTGACTGAGTGGAACTCGGAATTGCTCTCTCAGGTGTCAATTGCCCTATTGCTAATGTAGAGGTACGGTTCACTTCAAAATTGTAGCACCCTAAAAACAAAGGATACGTGGACCAATGACGTTTGGTTTGCAGCCATCTGGAAAGCACATGAAAAGTTGGTGAAATTACTCTGACTTGTCTGATCATCCGATTGCTGGCAGCCGTCTCAGCCCAAATGTTTGGGACACACGTGTAGTTTGCAGGTTGGGGAGAGGAAAAGGAGAGCAGAGGCCTAAAGTTGAGAGTACAAAAGTGGCATTCCAGTTTGCCTCCATTATCTGCGGGTGTCCGAAAATGAGGGTTCACCAAGATGGCCAGCCAGTTGTAGCTGGAAGCATCGTGTAGTCTATTCAAGTTGTACCCGCCCATGGGCTGGTCACTGAAGGCTACTCTAGAATGGTTTTCCTGTGCTCCCTTTAGTTCCCCTGGGCAAAAGCCTTTTGATTTTCCTTCTGTCTTTTTAGTAGTTGGCGCCTTTGTTGCTTCTCAGTACTTCAGTCAGATGCGGATTTCGGTATCCAGAGCCCTCGGCAGGAATATTGCAGGTTTTGCTTCCCTTCCTCAAACGGTGCAAGTTTTCCTGCATTTTTAAGTCCCCTCCCATTGTACTTGTAATTATGTCTCCATTGTCCAGGGTGATGAGTCGCTGGTACTGCAGACCTAATCCTGGTTCCATGAGAGCATCCCCATTTCCCTCGCGTGTCCAACATGCTGAGCAGAGAAACCACTGCGTTGCAGCAGAACTCGCAGCAGCTCTCCTGATCTTGCAAAGCATCAGTGCTGATAAAAGAGGGTGCCGAAGGGAAGTGGAGGGAGTGCAGGTCTCCATTGCTTTGTGGATTCTTCCAGCCAGACCTGCCACTCATGGTGTCCCATGAGACTTGTGGAGTTCTTCTTGTGTCTGTTTAATTTTACAAAAAAATACAGCAGATCGTCTTGTAATTTTTAACCATTGTTCCAAAGAATAGGGTTCCTTCTCTTGTCGATCTTCCCATAACAGCGACCTCACTCTGGGCTGCCGAATCAGCTGGTTTAATTTCCGGCTGTTGAGACTGAATCTGGCTGTGATTTTTTTTAAAAAGTGTCTCTAAAGCAAAATAAAACCAGGCGTTCACAATGGTTGGTTGCTTTCTGTGTACCCCAGCATCAGTTCCCTGTGAAATCCAAATGGAACACTTCACTGATGTTCTGAAACACCTTTTTTTTTTCTTTTGGTTAGAGGCTTTCACAAGACAAGCAAACTGCACAGATTTATTCTTTCATCAGGACCAGCTTTAAAACAAAGTATTTTGGATGGGTTCTCTCCCCAAAGTGAAAGTTAATTTCTTAAATTAGGTTCCCCTTTTATCGGGGAGCAGGGCTCTTACTTGGGAATGGCAAGGCTGCTACCTCGGGTCTCACGTTTGTTTGCGAGGGTACAGGACATGCATTTTTCCCATGGTGCTGTGCAGTGCCACCTGTACCTTAGTAGTGTTTGAGTATGTATAGATGTGAGAGGCTACATTTTCTTGTAACAGGTGGACAATTATCACTCTCTTGGGGGGGGGAAATAGTGTGGTTTTCTGAACAAATAGCATAGAGCGGGGGGTCTGCAACCTATGGCTCTTTTGTCATTCCCAAAATACATGCAACTTTTTAAATTCAAATGAAAAATTAATTCAAAAATGTAAAAACACGTGATGACATAGCTTGAATGCGCGCGTGGACCTGAATTTGACCAGTTATGACGTAAACGTCAAGAAATGTGCAAAAAGATGTAGCAACAGAAGTCCCATTAAATAAAATCTGCGAGTACAATGTTTCATTTATGCTACTATTAATTACCATGGCAATTATCAATCATATTAAGTTGCATATTTTCAGTCATGCGCATGAACATTCTTATA